TTTTGGTACAGATTTCTGCCTTCCACTCCTGGAGGTCTGACACCAAGAACAGTAAATCAGGGCGATTTGGGTTTTTTTCCCCTCCACTGAAGGCTTTAATTCTGGAAAGAGACTAGAGACAGCTCAAAGAGCAATACCAAGGCCCAGTCATTCTGGCAGGTGATGAACTGTTGTGAGTTTCCCAGATAGTCTGTGGGGTGCTAAAAGGAGGTACTAACAGGGATTTTTCTTTTGTGTGTTCCTTGTGTTACCCTCATCATCCTAAAATTATTAAAATGAGGTGTGGTACTGTATGAATGAAACATAATACTGTAACTGCTCTTCAGTCATTAGGAAGGTGATATTTCCCACTGGTTTACTGTACAAATGATGCTAAAGCATCTGAAAATTCAGAGCTGTTGTAGCAAGATCTATTTTTTTAAATATTTACTAAGAGAATGATTTTGTGGGAAAAAAAAATTACCATCTCTCTTCTTTAAACAGATAACACAGCAAGTGTTCTTGTTAGACGTGAAGGATTTAGTCGGCAAAAGCAAGATTTATACCTTCTTCCGATTGTAATAAGTGATGGCGGACTCCCTCCTCTGAGCAGCACCAACACCCTCACTATTCGGGTCTGCGGCTGTGACAGCAATGGCTCCTTGCTCTCCTGTAATGCCGAAGCCTACATCCTCAATGCTGGATTAAGCACTGGAGCTTTAATTGCCATTCTTGCTTGCATTGTGATTTTGTTAGGTAAAAAAGTTCTTTACTTATTAGTCTTCTGTACTTGCTTGTGGTAAAAAAATTAACCTTGCCCTCAGCTCCAAGATGGACAAATTAACCTTAATTTCTTAGCTTTTATTTTTATAGGAGGGACTAATCTGCCCGGCTGAAATGCAATATGTGATAACTGCAATAGCAAACACCAGTGAATTTGTCTACGTGTGCTCAGAGAATGTCCTTTTGTGGCCTAATATCAGTTAATCAGGGACACTGTTTAAAGGAGGTCATGACATACAGTTTTAAGTTTTGTGATCTTCCCTGGATGACAAGTTCCTTATTGAGGTCAGCCAGGATTAATGTCTCCTGCCAGCTATTTCCCTCTAACTCCTCTTATGTTGAACACAAATGAATAACTCAGAAGATCTGCTTTTAAGAAAGTGCTGTAAAGTATTTCCTGATGATGTGAAAATATTTATATAAAAATCTTTTAATTTGCCCGTAGTAATTTATAGTCTTTCTTATATATTTTAAAGCTTTTTTACTGAAAGTTGAAATGAGAAGGAACACAACAAAGGCATGTGTTTTGTGGTGTTGCTTAAGAAAAAATCCGCTTTCATGGAAATGAAACAGGGAATTAGAGTTAAGATTTGGGTATATTGGAAAGAGTAAACAATCTTTTTTTTTTTTTTTTGTGGCAGACATACATGCAATTGGGCTACTCAAAGCAGTGTCATGGTGTTCACACAACGCTGCGGGCCCACAAATGCTGGAATTAATCTTGCAATAATGAGCAATTAGTGAGAGCAATGGCATTCAGCCCAAACAGAAACCCTCAGATCAGTATGTTCAGTTCTGTGTACAAACATCAGTGCTCTTACCTAGCTAGGTATGCTAAAAATGCAGATTTTAGCAAAAATGCACGATGAGCTGCAGCACAAAAGCTGTGACGTTTCAGTGAATGCAATAATTATTTATAAAGGAGCTACTGTTTGCGAGTCTAACTTGCTGATTTTTTTTTTTCCTGTAGTCATCGTAGTGTTGTTTGTAACACTGAAAAGGCAGAAAAAAGAACCTCTGATTGTCTTTGAAGAAGAAGATGTCCGAGAGAACATTATTACTTATGATGATGAAGGTGGAGGCGAGGAAGATACTGAAGCTTTTGACATAGCTACTTTGCAGAACCCTGATGGCATCAATGGATTCATTCCTCGTAAAGACATAAAACCTGAGTATCAGTATATGCCAAGACCAGGGCTTCGGCCGGCTCCTAATAGCGTTGATGTTGATGATTTCATCAACACGAGAATACAAGAGGCTGATAATGATCCAACTGCTCCTCCTTATGACTCTATTCAGATCTATGGCTATGAAGGAAGAGGCTCAGTGGCTGGTTCACTTAGCTCATTAGAGTCAGCAACAACAGATTCTGATTTGGACTACGACTATCTACAAAATTGGGGACCTCGATTTAAGAAACTTGCAGACTTGTATGGCTCCAAAGACACTTTTGATGATGATTCTTAACAATAAAGTTTAAGATTTGGCCTTAAGAACTGTGTCTGCTGTTCTGAAGAATCCAGAAGAAATGTAAGCAGGTATTTTTTTAAAAATCAAGAAAAATCTCATTTAAACATTTAAGTTTGACAGAGAGGATTCCTTTGATAAAAAAAAAAAAGGACATAAAAGTGGTAAATACTGTGAAGTACCTTTTCCTACAAAAGGCAAATACAGAAGTTGGCTGCCAACTTCACTAAAGGAAAAAACCCACTTAAGAAATACAAAATATTTAAATGAAGGAAAATGTTAAAAGCAAACCTACAAATAAGGGAAATCTTTTGTGTATTATGAACATCTAAATCTTTTATGTCAAAGAAGCTTCCACAAATTAGAAAAGATAACAGTTCTGAGCTGTAATTTCGCCTTAAACTATGGACACTCTGTATGGTAGTGCATTTTTAAACTTGAAATATATAATATTCAGCCAGCTTAAACCCATATGATGTATGTACAGTACAATGTACAATTATTATGTCTCTTGAGCATCAAACTTGTTACTGCTGATTCTTGTAAATCTTTTTGCTTATACTTTCATCTTGAACTAATACGTGCCAGATATAAAAACTCTGTCTTGTTGCAGTGGGAGGCGCCCTATTTCTATGTCATTTTTAATGTATCTATTTGTACAATTTTAAAATTCTTATTTTAGTATACATACAAGTATCAGTATTCTGACATGTAAGAAATGTTACAGCATCACACTTATATTTTATGAACATTGTACTGTTGCTTTAATATGTGCTTCAATATAAGAAGCAGACTTTGAAATAAACTGATTCTTTTTTAATTCTTGTTCTGGTTATTAAGCATATAAGGAAAAACATAGTGTTTCTAATGTCCCATTTATAGTTCTGACTAATTTACTACAATTGTGACCTTTTAATAGCCTTATTTATTATGTGTTTGTAGTTGGTTTGTTGCCTTGTTAAGTGATTATTTAAAAATCAAGTACATTTTACAAATGTTTTTTAGATTTAAAAAAAAAATGTAATGTCTGGTGAACATTTTGTACCCTCTCTATCTACAGCGTGTGGCTGCTCCCAGAACACAGTAATAATCTTCATATAATGCTGTGTTTTCTGGATTAAATTAAGTGTAATACTTTTCAATATTTCCCATGTAATATGCATTTATCTTATATCTTAGAAATTCCAGAGGTTTCAGAAATGACTTTGTAAGTGGACAGGAGTACTCTGTACGTAAAATTTACTTCAGGCTTGTGAATTTCCATATCTGTGCTAAGCTTCTGCGGGTTCTAGAGACTTAAATCTGACCCAGTTTAGCTATAAGTTCCCTAAAGACTGTTCTACCTGACAATTACCTTACCTGAGTAGTAATTAAGATCCTGGCACTTACTTTTATTTTTTTTTTCTTTTGATTTTTTTTTTTTTTTTTTTTCATTTACTGCAGTAGAATAACGTTTTAATTTGTGGTGACAGAAATACAGAGTGCTTTCAGAGTTGTTCTTTGTAATGTATGTTTTTAATCGAAAAATGATCTATAACTTTTTTTATATTAGTTCAGAAAGAGCAAGGGATTGGAATATGTTCTGCGCATCAACATTTTCAGCATCTGTGTACAGCTGTACTTCTGCTAAATTTAATATAGTTTGCTGTTTAGGGTCAGAGATCAGCAGCTGCAATATGGGAAGAGGCAATAAATAGAAATTATATACATTTTTCTACCGTTCATTTTACAGACCCTGTCCTTCATTTGCAGTCAGGTACCAAACTGCTTGATCTGAGAGGAAATCTGATTTGTTGGTGTATTGCTTTTCTGAAGACCCCCATATATGTAGTTAGATTAAAATTTAACTCGTTAAAATTATGAATGATGTTTCAGCTCTATATTCATAACATATTCACTTGTCCCATTATATCCCTATGTTTTATAAGGCAGAGTTTGCTAAATCAGCAGATTTGCTCTACAATGTTTATTGTAATATTTCACTTTATTATAGCTGTATGCATTCTATATAATTCTATAGTTTATTATTAACTCGGTTCAAATTTATTTGGTTGTTGATTTTTCTCTGTTTATAATCCAAAGAATATTTTGCTAGATTTGCACATTTCTCCATTATAAATTTAAATAAACATTAAAAAATGAAATGAGTATCAATTTACAAATTAACAAATTGAAATAAAGTAAAAAAAAGTAATTTGTAGGACTCCATCCTCATTGATGCTATCTGGGTTTATTTCACTTTTGAGCAAATTTTAGAATTAATAACTGCATTTCTACATTTTTGTGTTTAATTTTTAAGAAGGACATTGTCAACTACATTTTTTAATAGTTTTAAGTGCTTTGAGTTTTAGTCTCTATTGTTTGTAGCACTCTCGTAGATGCTTGGAAATAAATTTTCTTTCCCTGCTGGTTTTGTCCTTTTTCATTTGATTATTTTTTCCCTTCCCAGTGAATATGCAATTATCATAGTGCTTTATTAAGTTAGTCTTGCTAATCTCAGCCAACATTACCTCTGAAATGCTGGGAATTATACTCATTATGTATCATCTGCAGCACCCCAAATGAACAGCGTGTTTTGGCACAACAACAGGACATTTATTTGTGTTAAACTTCACAGCAGTGGTCGCTGGAGTCTCAGGTTTATAATCTGAGAGTGTAAAAACCAGCCCAGCGCAGCAGTACTGGGTTAGTCCTCGACACAAATCAGAGAAGACGGTGGGCTGGGGCTGTAGTTTGTCACAGTGCTCCCAAGGATCTGAGCAACCCGGGAAGGGATTTACTTACACGAGTTGCTTTAGAGTAGTCTCTCTCTCTCTGTCTGACTGATCTCAGGGAAGGACGGAGCCTCATATTCATGGAAGGCAACTGAAAGATTAATTACAACTTCAGTGGGTTTGAAGACAAACCTTAATTAAAAGGAGGATCACCGCGACTGAGCCAGGTAAGGTAAGGGACAGTAGCAAGTGCAGATGATGTTTTCTCCTCCTTTTTGCCCTCGTTTGGCCTGCCTGAGACATCGCTGGGGGGCGAGGGGGGGAAACACACACCAAAATCTCTCCAAATACCCTCCGCAACAGAGAGTGCGACGTTACCGGGGGTGTTGTTCATTCTGTGGGCTGAGTACACGTATGTCCTCCTGTTGGCAAAAATATGCAGCTCCTTGTCTAGCTGCCTATCACCAGAAGAATGTTCATGTGAGCAAGCCTGACGTGCCCCCAGTCTCACGTATATCCACAATGCATTAGTACACGATTTCTCTCATCACCGTCAAGAAGCAATTAGGTATGCAAGTTTGGTGCTGGTTGCTAAGGGAACTCAAAATTTACACTGATATGGAAGGGGAGGGTTTGGGATTTTTTAGATTGCCTCTGTCATGTTCTTGCCATTATATCAAGCAGTTTTTCATACTGTGTCAAGGGGTACAAGCTTGCAAGCTTACCACCAACATTTATGTGATCTTGTGCAAGATGATGCCTCAGAAACTGATACGAGCGCAGATGAGAAAAGCTTTTAAATAATTTGCATGTTTTCTTGGCTCCATATTGTTGTCTGACTGACAAACTAAAATGCTGAATTTTACCATGTTGGTGCTGATAAGCTTACAAAAAAAAAAAGTGAAGAATAGGAATTTAAATCAGGCTTACAAAGACAACCTTAGCTCTCTGGGATTTAAAAGCTTAGAATTCTTTTATGTCTTCCCCATCCAGCAGAATTCTCAGAATTACGTCCTTTTTATTGAAAGGCTCAGTAAACAAAAATCTAGGTAGACCCTGTGCAGGTTTCCACTTCGGTGACTGATCGAAATATTGAGCTACTGTAACCAAAGCTGAAAAATCAGCACTAGAATCACATTCTGTATTAAAAAAAAAAAAAAAAAAAAAAAAACCACAAAAAAAACCCCCCCCCCCCCAAAAAAAAAAACAAACAACCAAACAAAAAAACCCCACCACACCAAAAACCACCAAACCAAACCAAAACACAAACAGGTGGGGAGAGAGAGAAGAAAAAGGAATGGCTTGTGGAGGGG